ACATGGGAATACGATGATATATTGATAGCAGTTGATATATTTTGAAGAATCAAAGAATGTCAACATAAAGTCGCAGCAAGTACGGGAAACATTTATTTCTTACGGATAGAGACAACTACCGCTTATTATTTTATTGAAACAGATAACCCTGTTCTCTAAACAAGAATGTTATATTGATATCACATGCTGTTATGGAGAAACATGGCGGCTTTGTCGTCTCTAGATGGAGTAACCCTGCAATGTTTTAAGCAAAACGGCTTTTATACATTTTCTCCTTGGTTCACAACGTAATTTCTACTCGATAATGCTTGCATTGACATAATTATACTGGATATTCTCCAACACATTCTTGACAAATGTGAATGAAGACAGACCATATTCGTATGATGTTTATATTTACCAATTTACCATTAGGTTAGCAACTTGATATATTCTTATGTTGTGGCCGCTACCAGGAAATCATAGCTTGCATGCACGTAGATAAATGATTCAAGTTCAGATTCAAGTAAGTTCCCCGCAATATAGGATTGTATATATCGGGCGCAAATATTACTTATACGTGCCACCTCCAAACTGGAGGTGGCTTTCCGTGATTGAGATAGACACGGCCGCAGACTGATTACTGGGGTCTGCGTTGGCTGGGACTAATAACTCTCTAACGTATCCACCTATGACCGGTAGAAAGCGGCTGGTTTTATACGACCGGACGTAAAAAGTTTGACATGTTATGGATAGGTGACTGGTCGAAACAATCCGATGTACGTCACGTGATAGCAGTGCATAGATGGGTTCCTATTCTCTTCGTCAATGTGAAGTAAACAAAATAAAGAGATGAGACACAAATATACAGAAATGGAGCCAATATGGCAACCTCCATATCCTCGTGTTTTGAATTTGTACTTGTATTTTGTTAATATTAATAAATACACGTACGCGCGAGCTGTAATCTAGGCAGCTAGCCGTGAGTAATTCGCCATGTTTACATATGTGTTTATCTCATAACTAAGAGTAAGAGTAAGTGTCTGTGTGCTCAGGGGCGTAGCTTGTGATTTTCATAGGGATCGACATGCCTACGCGCAGTTTATGTGGTTAGTCTTAGTGTTACTGTATGTTAGACTAGCTCCAAGAAACGGTATTGCTAGGGTTAGAATCGTCCACGTTGACGATGGCGCAGCGCGTTCCACAGCGTGTGCGCATGCAAGATGCATCGATCTGTGGCGTGTGGAAAATATCACACGTGTTTGATATTTTCTTCCACGTGTGGAAGATTGAACAGCGTGTGCGGAATGGCTGCGTAAAGTTCCACACCGTCTCTATGTAACCGACCAATAGCAGGAGGTCAAGCAAGTCACGTGATCTTAACTTGCGGTTGCAGCGCAGTTGCACTGCGGTACACGCACGTACACGCGGATACACGCACGTACACGCGGTGTCACCCGCGGTGTAAGTGGTGTATACTGTGTGTACGTGCGTGATGCGTGTACGTGCGTGACCGCATGATACGTGCGTGCTACCTGCGTGTACGGCGTGTATCTGCGTGTACGTGCGGGGGGGGGTCGCAATGGGCGACGATGGGGGGGGGGGGTACGGGGAGGGAAGGGGGGAGTACGTTTGTGTGTTGAGAGGGTACAATTGTGTGCTGGGGGTACGATTGTGTCCTGGGGGGGTACGATTGTGTGTGGGGGGGTACGATTGAATGTGTGTGGGGGGGTACGATACGGTGGGGGGCGCTAGGGAGATACGCGAGGCACGGGGATGGAGATATTAAACGTGAGGGGCGGTTACTTGGCTGCTAGACGTGCTAGGCGGCGAATACGCAGAGAGTGACGAGAGGGGGGGGGGGATGTCGTACGTATGCGAGCGCGTTGCTTTTGAGCGTGCGTATTGATCTTGTATGAAGAACTGTTATGACGTAATGCTTGGAGCGGGTGTAGCGACGTGATGCGTAAGCTTGTGTGTTGGCGAGGCCGTTGAAAACTGTGGCTGAAGTCGACGTCGCAACGCATGTGGAGCGCGCATGCGCAGAAGGGACTCTGATCACTCGCCGCTTCGGCAGCGTTGGTCGCGTAGGTATGCCTATATCAGTATAGTGTGGTATACGTAACGCCGTCAGCTATGTCAGAGCCGCTGTGACAGGGAGGGGGGGCGTGACGTATAAAATAACGATTTTTCGTGTAAGAGGCGGTACGGCGGGGGACGAAAAGGGTGTTAGCACGCGGT